TGCAGCACCACTGTGTGCTCTGAAGTATCTGTGTATGATACTTGCAGCTGTTAGACTCTAAGTTCTTTAGGTATCATGGTGACACCAGCAGAAATGTGATAACATAATCCCTGCATCACCAGGAACTGGTCTGGTGTGTATAACCTTTTTTGAATTGGAATGATTTAGACAGTTGGCTTGCTGGAAGAAGGTGGCACTCGTTCTTAAAGACAATTTTTCATTACTGCTTTTGAATGTGCATCTTAAAGTAACTTTTTTTTATGAGGAAAAGACATGGTATAGGATGTAGGGGGCCGGTTAGCTCAGTGGTTTGAGCGCGGTGCTGGCAAAAAGGACCAACACCGAGATCGCAGGTTCAATTCCCGCTCGGTCCCCATGTGTTGCCTGGTCTAGTCGAGAGGTGGCGTCCCTGCCCAAAACAGGGAGGTTGGACTAGATGATCTCTAAGATCCCTTCCAGCCTAGGCCATTCTATGATTCTATGATAGCTGTTCTGACAATCATAAACCCCATGCTCTGGAGCTCATGTTTTCAGTCTCTGTATTTATATGGTCACATGCTGCTTTTTGTTCCACTTCCTTCTCTAGTAAGACCTGATCCTGTACAGTGTAGGGAGTGTTTAGAAGTTTAGAAAGGACTGCAGCCTAAAAACTGCATGTATAACTTCCTCTGCTGAAAAGCTGCCTGCCTGCTGTCCCGTATCCAGTCTGCGAGCAGTCGTGCAGGGTGCTGCAGAACTGCTGTAGTTATGTAACTATAGAGGACTGCACTCCTGGGACTGTGCATCTAAACCTGAGATCGTGAAGTCCGAGTTGGCTGCAGAAGGAAGGAGGGTGTCGAGGGAACAGAGTTCTGTATAACTATACATTTTTGTAGGTTGTCCTACAACCTAGAGCATTGGCTATAAAGGGACCCTGATAACCTTATTTTCTTCTCCTTTACAGAGAAAAATCCTGAGGGCAGAGGCTTTTAGACCAGCTGTGGGGTGGAGAGTGGTAGTAGCATGGAGAAGAGTAACTGCCCAGCCTCTGAGAGGCAGAGAGTGGCCTTGTTGTTCTGACTTGCTCAGCTTGCCCGAGAGCTGAAATGGCTACTGCTGCCTGCTATGCCCCCTCCTCTAATGTGTCCCGCAGAGCTGTGCCACAGACCATCCTGTGGGCTGGAGAAGACGGGAAGACTGTGTTTTCTTCCAGCCTTTGGAAACCCTGGTGAAAGAAAGGACACCTGAAGATTGGGGAGGGGCACAGGGGGATAGGCCGCCTGCTTGGCTTCCAGAAGTATTTTGGCAGCTCAGCCCTGTCTACATTAGTGCTTTGATCTGCTTTTTTGGCTGTCCCACTTCAAGGGAGCAAGTGGGACAATATAAGCACAGGGAAATATAAGTACTGGTTCTCCCAGCACTTCGGTGTGTTTGAACAGACCTCTTGCCAGAAAGGCAGAGATCGTGATTGTTACTCTTTTGGGTGAAGATTCCCTGCCTAAGCAAGGACCTTACTTACTGGAGAGAGCAGAAACCTGCTTGTTGAGCCTGTCACTTCTTGACAGGCTTTGTCTCCTCAGGGTGTTGTTCTACCCTGCTAGGTCTCAGCCTCAAGGGCACAGGAATAACTGTGAAAGGGCACAAGGAATAATTTGAAAATGCTGTACTTGTATGAAGAAAATTGATACATTGATTGAATATTTAGTGTTATTGCAAAGAAATAATTGATGAGCACTATCTTTATATCCTCTCTCTTTCTTAATTGTAAATGTTTAGGAAAAATAAACCTTTTTTTCTCTCCCGGTTAGGCTTATATTAAAATCTATCAAGGAGAGGAGCTACCTCATCCGAAGTCTATGCTGCAGGTATTTTATTTTTCCTTCAAATAATCTGATGGGGTTAGGTGCTTTAAGTTCTTTTGAATTGAAGATCATGACTGCTCTGGGCATGACATTCCCATAGATAGAGCTGTAGTTCTTCAAGAGGCTGTGTACTTTGAAAGCCGTCTCACCTGTGTTGTCTGGGTACCCACTTGTGTCCTCCCTCAGTTCCACTCACCAAATGGAACAGGGCTATATCTGGTTGGTTGGGTTTTCTTTAAGCTGCTTAAATTTCTAAGCATGTATTTCCCATATCTTGCTGTTTTGTCAGTATCTTTCAGGCTGTATTCGGAGAGCATTTAGCATTAGATGTGGCAGATGAAATGCAGAAGGCTTGTAGTAATGCAGCTGTTGCCACTGTCTTGTAGTGTTGGGCTACTCTGTGTGGGTTTGTTAGATTGGATAACTGCATTGAGGTTTCCTTTTTGGATTGATCCAAAGCAGATATAATCAGCCTTAAAGTGGTCTGAACACAAACTGATGGTATAAAGCTGTGTGTTGAACCCTTGAATTGTTTGGGATGAAGAGCTTTCACCAAAGTGTGGGCTTTATGGTCATTTTTAACAATTTCGTGTTTGTAAGACTTGATTGATTTTCTTTGTTTTTTTCCTTTTTTTTTTTTTTTTAAAGCTTTCTGTGTTGCTTTAAGACATGACTGTTGTGGGTGTTTTCTCATCCTTCAGGGAATCAAATCTTTAGACTTTTGGGGGTGAGGGTGTTGGAAAACTCATCACAACAAAACAGAGGCTGCTATAATTTCCTCTAGCATGCCATAAATGTGGCTGGGAGGTATAGGAGGTGACATCTTGCGGCACTGGCTCAAATAACTGTCCCTGGCATAGCACAGGTTGAAAATAGTCTTAAATTCTGACACCAGAACTGTACAGACAAAATGCAGAAATAATACCAGCTTGCTTATTTCGTCACAGGTAGTGATGTATCAGGACTAACATTTAATAGTTCTCCTTAATTGCTTGTTAACAATAGAGCATTTAGAAGAGATGGCTCATGATGAAAAGCCTGTACAAGCACATGGGTGTTTATCTATGGCTGTACTAGAAAGTGGAAGAGAACATTTTCCTAGTCAATAGTCTATTTTAATGCGTATCACTAACCTTCACTTGTTTTTGTGGGGCACTTTCCTGGCAATACCTAGCTCTGGAGGTTGTTTGGGGTGTGTTGGGCAGTGTAAGAGTGAGAGAGAGTGTGTGTGTGTGTGTGTAATTAGCTGGTAATGCTGTGATGACACACGATGCTCAATGTTTTCTAGGCAACAGCCGAGGCGAACAATCTTGCTGCTGTGGCAGGAGCAAAAGACTTGTACAGTAAAGGCATGGAGCAGGTATGGTGACATGACTTTTTCTTACTGCCTGCATGCAAATACAGGCCTTTAGTTTTGATGCTGTACTCATTGTTGGTTGTGAGTGTGTTAATATAGTACCTTAGGGCCAGTACTTGTGTGTTTGCTGCATTCTGCTCTGAGATTAGATGTCTGATGCAGAAAAAAACAGGACTCTCAGAGACAGAAATTGCTGGGGAGGTATGGGAATGGGCGTATCTGTAAGATACCACCTGTTAGTTCCCCCTGCTGCTCTTGACAGACATCTTAAAATCCTGTGACATGAAATGGACAAACAGGTGAGGAAACATTTGGTGAGCCAGGGTTGTGCAAGGCTAAAGTTCTAGTATTATAGTTTCTTGCTTCTGAATTGTGGTCATTTGTTAGCAGTCAAATGCAGGGATAAAATGATTTTCAAGTCGTTTAAAAAAAAATTAAGAAACTTGAAATACAAGAACTGTCTTGTGTGAAGAAGCTGTATGTGTAATTTCCTACTTGCTTCTTCTCTTGAAGATAATGACTTGTGCCACTCCAAGCTGAATGTCTGGATGAACTTCATGCTTCAATGCAGGTGCAAAGTCTCATCATAGGAAATTTTGAAAACAATTACATGTATTGTAAAGCTTAGCAGGGCTATGTGTATTGTGAAACCACAACTGGAAAAGACCAGTAGGTGTGACAACATGCTACAAACATAGCTCCCCATTAACTAGGCTAATTCTGTCTTAATTGCTGGAGCAGCTTTCTGTTTTGAAATTAGAGGAAGACCTAATGCTGTTGGCAGACTAGCCAGCTCCAGCTGTTAGCAGGCTGTTTGAAGAATGCTCTGCTGATGTAGAGGGACTTTGTTTCCATTTTGGAAAATCCCTTGAAGTAGTAAATGAGTTGTGTATAATAAGTGCCAAGTCTGCCTTCCTACCTTGAATCTTCGGTGTCTGCTAAGATATTGTAGTTGTAAGGTTTCTTACTTGGGGCAAGGAATAAACAGCAAGACGTTCTCTTTGTTTCCATAGTAATGTTCCTCAGTACTGTGTATTTTTATGTCACTGTAGAGATACATAGAAATTTCTTGAATTGTGTTGTTGGTTGTGGTGGTGCTTTTTTTTTAATCCCAATGTCTCAGATGATGTTCTTACCGTGAAATTTCTATTTTTAGGAATGTAAGTGGGAACTCTTTGGATTTAAGACTGGATTATGTAAAGATAGTTGTTACTGTAGCTTGAGTTCTCCTCATGAACTAAAGCCCTCCTTTTCTGAGTGTGCATAACCAAAACACTGTACCCCTAATGATCTTAAATATAAGGAGCAACAGGTGCAGTCACACAGAGTATAAGAAAACAGTGGCAGTTATCTGCGGTGCTTTTGATGCATCAGCAGTTCCTAGTGTTTAACACTGTCTGGGCAGTGTGAAAAGACTATTTTGGTGGATGAGATTAATAACTGTTTTTCAGGGAGTTTTGACAGAGCTGGAAGACTTCAATATGGAAAAAGTAGAAATTAAACTTGAGTGTGGGGCGGAGTGTGGGTGTCAGGATCTTGACACTGAGAGTTGCCTCGAAGAAGCTAGCCAGTGAAGCCATGCATCTTGTGAGGCAGAAAGGGGGTGCTGTGCTTGGAAAATGCCTGCTGAAAGGACAGCAGCAGCAGCAGGTTAGAATTGTTGCTGCACTGAAGACATGAGATGACAAGCGTGGCGATAAGACTTATGTTGTGGCAGTTTGACATCATACAGAATCAATTTTTAGTCTTTAGACATAGTCTGAGTGTGAGGGTCTTGGAAGACTTGAAGCTAATTTGCCATATATGTCTCTTACGGCCGAAGTAGTCTCTAACCAAAGTCATCAAGAGGTCAGAAATCAGTCTTACAGAGTAGAAGTCCTTGGAGTCTAACTGTTTTCATGCCTGTGCTGATTCAGGGAGAGGAAGATGGTGATGTCTACATTATGGATATCCATTTCAGTCCATGGTCTTGTCCCTTCAGCAGAAGCATACTCTCATAAGTTGATCAGAATCAAGCTTGGAGGACAGTCTAGGGGAGAAGAGACTAAAGATGTCAGTAGCTAGTTCTCATTAAGTTATATCAGCTCATGAGTTCCATAGAACCTGCTAGCAGCAGCAATAAACCTGAGGGGGCAAAATCTACCTGGTTTGTCTGAGTTCTGCACTAACCTACTCCCTGAGATGGATGCCGAGGAGTAAAAAGCTGATGGGAGGGCTTGTGGCCTTCAGAGTTCTCCTTACTGTTCCTCAAGCCAAGCTTCCTCTGCCTGCTGGTATTTCTTTGTTTCATCTTTTCATAACAGGAATGTTTGTGTGGCTGATGTCCTGCCCTTCTAGGGTTGTCCAAAGGGAACAGGTGAAAGTATGAGTTCAGTCATAGCTCTAGCTCTGTATGTGATTAGACAGGTAGGGCTCTTGCTGTGCCATGATGCAGAGTGCGTTTAGCTGCTTCACTTGAGACCAAGACTAGAGCCTACAGAGCCAAGAAAGCTGCAGGAGGTAGTCTCATGCTGGCTTGAGAGGGGGGCAGTGGGGAGCAGATTTGATGTCTGTACAGAGAAGATACTCAGGTTGTGATGACTTCGTCTCTGATTGCTCTAACAGGTTTGTGGGGGAGATAAGCCTTACATTGCCCCATCGGACCTTGAGCGGAAGCACCAGGATTTCAGAGAGTCGGCTATCAGGCAGTTCTGCTCAGTGAAGAAGATGGGAGGGGAGGAGTTCTGTCGGCGCTACCAGGAACAGCTTGAAGTGGAAATCGACGAGATCTATGCAAACTTCGTGAAGCACAATGATGGCAAAAACATCTTTTATGCTGCTCGCACCCCTGCCACTCTATTTGCAGTCATGTTTGCCATGTATATAACCTCAGGACTGACTGGGTTCCTTGGTATGAACTCCATAGCTACCCTGTGTAATCTCGTGCTGGGGATAGCTCTTATATCATTTTGTACTTGGGCGTATGTTAAGTACTCTGGGGAATTCAGAGAAGTTGGAACAGCCATTGATCAGATTGCTGAAGCTATATGGGAGCAGGTTGGTATCTGTTTTTAATGCAATTTTTTTTTCTTTCTTGAGCAGTAAAAAGCTGATCTAGACCTAATGGAGAATGCTAGTACTGCCAGAGGGAAAATCAACTCAGAAGTGTGACTACTCTCTTCAGTAAGAGGTGCTGCCCACAAAGAGTGTTAAACAAGCTTAGGATATTTGCAAAAAGGTGTTACTTGAAGGCCTTACTAGTTGCCTTGATGGTAAGGAGTGGTGGCACTCTTAAAGTCTCGGTGCTTTTTCAGAGCAAGGAATTCTGCTTTTAAAGATGTATTTCAAGTGATAAACTTGGCCTCTGGATATGGTGGATAAAATGTCCTGGGTGGTGCAAGAAATGGGAAAGGTGGAACGCTGCTGTGCTCCCTCACTTCGCCTGATGGTGTGATACTGGAGGGCTAATAGACCTCAGAACTAGCTGATGGCTTACGGCAACCAGATTGACTTGCAGCAACTGCTACAAGAGGATGTGCAGCAGGGTTCTTCCTTTCCGAAGACTTGTGTTGTCTGCATCAACTTCAGCTGGTGCAACTCCTGTTGCAGGAATGATTTGACAGACTAATTCCTGAAAGAAACGATGGCTGGAGGAGAAAGCTTTCTGTACAGAGATTTTGCTGCCTGAATTGAGTTGACACTGCCTGTCCCAGTAAAGCAAATGTAGAGAATTCCTGACCGACTCTTACAAGTAGGGTTTGGAGCATTCGGAGTGACGCTAGGGTGCTGTTGTTGCTAGAAATAAAGGGCTTTTGGAACTTGGGACAGTAAGATGGGTCCTACAAGCATGAGCAAATAATTAACTGGAGCCTTCTATACAGAAGCTCTCTTCTGCATCTGAAAATTGACTCTGTTCAAGGCTCACCATAGGCAGCAGTAATCATAATGTTACCTGGTTGCTCAGATAGATCTAGAACTACACTGGCATGGGAAAAAGTGGATTTCTAATGCTAGAAGGAAAATAAGCATCAGACTACTTGTCACGGTTTAGAAGACAGGGGAAACCAAAGCCTCTCTTGAGATAGGGAGAGTAAAACCCCCCCCACCTCTGAATTGCTATACCTTTGAAATTATGGGGCTTTCAGGCAAAAGATATGGGGATAGGAATACCAGTTCTTTACTGAGAATATTGCAAACTACAAAGGTAATGATACAGAGAAAAAGAACAACAAGAAACAAATAATCCCAGAACCTCCAACAGAGTCAGATTATGACCTGGCTTTGGGGAAAAAAGTCCAGAATAACTCCGAATTAAAAGTCCTCCTGGAGTGGCAGATGTGGCTCTGCTGGAGTACAGATAATCTGGTAGAGGGATCTGGTGGCGACAGGACAGAGCCCAGTCCTCCTAAGGCGAAGAATGGCCGCAGCACCGACCAGAGCTCCACGAGGTCTGTGTGGCGGTGCGGCTCCAGTGGGAGGGGGGCGGCACCCCCCCCAAGGCAGGGGCTAAGGGCGGCTCCCACTGATTGGCCCCATCATTAACCCATGATTACCCATTAACAGAAAGCACCCGCCCCCTGGAGTTACAAGAAATAAAAATATCTTCCAACCGGTTTCAACAGATGAAAATAGAATTACACGTGTTTTTTTTGTTACATATTGTAACGCAAGACACTACTAAACTGAGTTACACCCTTAACTAGTGATTAAAATGAAGGCTCTCCTGTGCCACAGTTTCTTCATGGTTTGGAGGCTGGGGCTGAAGAGGACTGTGAGAAAAGTGAAAGGTGTCAGTTCTCCATGTAGTACTTGCTGGTGCTGGAGGATACCTAGAGCACGGAAGGCTTGATTTGGCTGCTGACGTTTGCTGGAAAAGGGGAGAACTTATGCTAGTAGGAACTTACCTCTTGTGGGCCAGAGGAAAGTGGCCTCAAAAGAGCTTGCTGGTGGTGGGGTTACAGTTTCATGTCACCGTATGCAAAGCACCTACAGGTCCCGTCTCTCTAATGGTATGCCATGTTCTCACTACTGATTTTTCTGAACCTCTACCTTTCTTTTCCCTCCTTGCTTCAGAGGAATCCCAGGAAGGTGAGAAGTTAGTGGCAATCAGTTTCTTTTTCTGAACTCGGTTAACTTTTTCCATTGCCTTTTAAGAGCTGCTTTTCCTAACAGCTGAATTCATGTTTTAGGTGTTTTCCAAACTCTTTGAAGTCCTTAGACGCCGAACGATTCGCCGTGCTCTTACATCAGTGCCGCGACAGCGACTCTCATCCAACAATAACAAGAAGAAAAACTAGCCAGTATTTTTAACTTTATTTCTGTATCTGAAGTGTTGACACTTACACATATAGGACAATAAGCTGGACCGTCTGGGCCGGTCTGCATAAATGCTGTAACCATACCAGACAGATGCTGCATATAGGGTATGGAATTGCACATCCATCTTCTAGGAACTGTTAAGTGGTCTGAATTCAGTGAAATACTGCTGTATAGGAGAGATATCACTTGTGTGCGTAGCGTGTGATTGATTTAACCTCGTTACTGTAGCAGCAAAACTCATTTCTCTTTCAGTTCATGCCAGTTTGTGTCAGACTTCAGCATTCTAATTTTTTTTTCATTATTTCAAGTCTCATCTCTTTGTATGTTTTTATATTTTATTTTCCTTGGTTACCTCATTTTTTTGTTTCTTTCGCACATTTCTCATTTCACAGGTGTTGAAGCCCATGAGTGATAATTTGATGGAGGATCATATGAGGCAGTCTGTAAAAAACTCTATCAAAGCAGGCCTGACCGAGCAAGTGTCTCACCATGCCAGACTAAAGACAGACTGACAGTTCATCTTCTCTTCAACTCTGCCCTCTCATCTTAGACATGCTTGCTGTACCATGAGAAGTCAATAATAAAAAAAAAATAAACCAAAGTTTACAATCAACTGTAGAATAGTTTAGTGTGACTGGCTTCACAGATTGCTGCCATCACCTGGGAGGAGTAAGTTTGTCAGTGCTCTGATTCTAAGACAAAAACTGGTGCCGTGGAGACCGCTGGGGTGGGAGGGAGG